CCCGTCCGGCCTCTCTGTGATTCACTAATTTTAGGCTCATACACCTTGCAGTTTGGAAATTTTACTGCTACTTATTACCTTAACTAAACAGCACAAGGAGTTTCATTAATGAACGCAGAAATTGTCGTTTTTCAGACTCTTATAATTGCGGGAAAATTAGAAATCAACAAATCAATGGAGGAGAAAAAACTGAAGACTTTTCTATTTCTGATTTCAGCGCACCGCTGCTTGCTCTACTTTGCAAAAGTTGAAACGCGCCGAGCTTTATCTTCAAAAATATTTAAATTCTGAAGGCCCCCGAAAGTCAGCTTCGGCTCTTTTTCACTTATGGATTTTTGCAACATAGAGTGACGCGTCGCGTTGCGCTTCAAAGATACTTCGCTAAACGTGTCGTCTGTATCCCCCCAACCAATACCCAGCATTTCTATAGCGACTAACCGTTGAGCTACAGGGATATAAAGTATACCAGAAACTGTTGCGTCTTGGACTTGCGAGCATTTTGGTGTATTTAACCCAGTTGTAACCCAATAGGAGGCAAGATACAGTGGCTTGGTTTTGGCTGCCCTGGCGGGGGAGGGGGTAGCTGAACCACAGCCAGATTCAACAATGCGTTGAATGTCATAGGTCCGCGTTAAAATCCTTAATCCTACTATACACCAAAAAATAGTGTTTGTGTGTGTGTGTGTGTGTATTTGCATGCACTTCCGTTAGAGATGTTCCGCTCCTAAAGCATCGGAAAAGGGTTTTGGGATGAGGAAGAAACGACAATAGTTTAAGAATGATTTTGAATCGACTACTTTCAAAACATAAAAATTTTGAAAAATTGTGGTTTTCGCTATTAAAGAAATAGGTTTTAGTAAATTCCTGTTTGTTAGGGGAAATTATCATACATCCCAAGGTAAGGAAGAGCCTATATAAAGGGACAGAGGAGACCGTTTTGAACTTTTTCTTGCTAGAAGAAAGAAGCATTCAAATTAAGGACTTTCACAGATTCTGGACAGGGCCAGGGTTGAAAAGCCGCGAAGCGAATTTTCAACCCTGGTGATCCGTGCCTGGCGCTTTCATATACCCAACCTTTTCGGGGCTCAAAAAAGCTTAAAAACCATGCCGCGGGAGGGGTCGAACCCCATTTACCAGAATTTTTGCAGCCCTGGATGCTATCCATTAGGCCATAGTTTCAACCCATTGAACAGGGAGGGGACGCCCACAAGAGGGAAAGGTAATCCGGAATTCTGTGCGGCAATGGGCGCCCCATTGGCGCCGCAAAATTCGCAAATCATTCGTACTTGCCGGAATCCATAACTATATATTTGCCTCCAAAACCTTAAGTCATCACTTTAAACGATTTGAACTTTGCTGGGCCCCCTCTCAAAAACCCATCGTTCACCCCCCAGCCCCTAACAAACAGCTGGCTTCCCATTGGCCATCCACACCAAATCTATGGCGGTTCCTCGAGAGCAGGACACATTAACAACCCCTAACCGGAGAGACAGAAATGGGGCCACATTTGCCGTCACACTGCTCTGTTTTGACCTTAACTATTTTTAGAAGCAGCCGACAAGAGTGCCAGCCTGGCCTCTACGCCCACTCGACTCTTTCCACCACCACCACCCCTCCAGTGCGCCGGCTGGAGGAAGAGCTCGAGGGAGGCCTCGAGTGGCAGCTGGGGCGCAGAAAGGTGTGTTGAAGAAGCAGTTTATGGTAGAGAAATGTCGACATTCAAAAAGATTCCTTACTGTACAAGGGACTAAAGAGTAGATGGTTTAAGCCCAGGGAAGCGGCTTGGAAGCGAAGGGCTGGGCTTAGGCTTGGGGCTTGGGCTTAGGCTTGGGCTTGGAAGCGCAGGCTCAGGCTTGGAGCGCAGGAGCTTGGGCTTGGGCCCAGGCTTGAAGCTTAGGCTTAGGCTTAGGCTTAGGCTTAGGCTTAGAGCTTAGGCTCAGGCTTAGGCTCAGGCTTAGGCTTAGGCTTAGGCTTAGGCTTAGGCTTAGGCTTAGGCTTAGGCTTAGGCTTAGGCTTAGGCTTAGGCTTAGGCTTAGGCTTAGGCTTAGGCTTAGGCTTAGGCTTAGGCCTAGGCTTAGGCTTAGGCTTAGGCTTAGGCTTAGGCTTAGGCTTAGGCTTAGGCTTAGGCTTAGGCTTAGGCTTAGGCTCAGGCTTAGGCTTAGGCTTGGCAGGCTTAGGCTTAGGCTAGGCTTAGGCTTAGGCTTAGGCTTAGGCTTAGGCTTAGGCTCAGGCTTAGGCTCAGGCTTAGGCTTAGGCTCAGGCTTGGAGGCTTGAGGCTTAGGCTTAGGCTTAGGCTTAGGCTTAGGCTCAGGCTTAGGCTTAGGCTTAGGCTTAGGCTTAGGCTTAGGCTTAGGCTCAGGCTTAGGCTTAGGCTCAGGCTTAGGCTCAGGCTTAGGCTTAGGCTTAGGCTTAGGCTTAGGCTTAGGCTTAGGCTTAAGCTCAGGCTTAGGCTTAGGCTTAGGCTTAGGCTTAGGCTTAGGCTTAGGCTTAGGCTTAGGCTTAGGCTTAGGCTAGTCTTAGGCTTAGGCTTAGGCTTAGGCTTAGGCTTAGGCTTAGGCTTACGCTTAGGCTTAGGCCTAGGCTTAGGCTTAGGCTCAGGCTCAAGCTCCGCAACGCTGTCTTGGCCCGTTCCCCACTCGCCCCCCACCTGGTCCACTGTCCCGTCTAATCAACCATCCCCTCTTTCTATAGGTACCTCTGGTTCGTGTGCATTTGACCGAGAAAATCTTTCGCCTTTTACTAAAGATTTCCGTGCACACGAACAATTATGAGTATTACACAATTTTTGGAGCCCCCTCGAGAGAGCGGGGCAAAAAATTTAGTAATCTTCAGTGTGTTGAAGCCACGTTTACCCATATAAAAAACCCTTTTCCAGACCAGCGCACAAATGGTACGACTCGCACGCGTCGCCATTCTACGGCGGCAAGCCTGCGGAAACGGCCAGATGCATCCCGGAAATTATCGTCCCTCTCCGCCCAAATGAACCCGAATATCGAGGCGGCGTTCTCGTCGTGGAAGCGCGAGAAGCGCCGCGAGAGTTGAGCCAGATACAGATGTATAAATCGTACAAAATTTCGTTCATTTGATTCATTGAATTCGATATTTAAAATACACCCAAAAATGCTAAGAAAATGGCATGAATTTTCTGCGACATGCCGGGGCTCTGTGGTTGTAGAAGAAGATCCTAAATCATGGGATGAATACACAATTGTATAAAAGTTAATTGAAATTATTTCATTGTATATAATGCGCAGTTTACTATCATATAACAACATTATTTTATAGAGAAGGTAGTTAGTGCTATAGGACATTTTATTTACTACCTACCTATGATGCCCAATCGTATTGTCATCATATGCCAACGCGTAGTGGCCTTCGTTTACTAATTTCCGGATAAACTCCATGTATTTAACCTTTTGCTCTATATTTTGCGCAATGTGAGCTTCAAGGTTTATCTAAAATCCCAATGTTATGACTTATAAAGTATACGCCTAGCTACAAAACTAACCTGACAAATCGTATATCCATTTTCCAGCGCTTTCCCAGCCTGTAAATAATCGAATAAATCGTATTCCGCGTATTCGATATCGACAAATAAGTAATCTATCGTTTTTCTAAAGCAAATAGGCTAATTAAAGCATAATTTGCCCTACGATTTGACGATTTCCCCAAAGAATTGATACATCGGCATTGCCGGCATCTTTTTGCGCGTTTGGTACCCGGCTGAAAAGAAGAGGAAATCGAGATTTCTCTAAAAAAAACTTACATTTTGTTAATATACTCGAATCTGCGACGTTATTGCCGGAAATTGCCAACTGGTGGTACTCACCGACCTGTTGAAAAATAATTAATAACCCAAATATCTTTACATTTTCATATACGACCTTGTTTTCTTCCAAAACTGGATCGGCGCCGTAGAATTTACAATTCGGCATCATTGCCTGAAAGGTTTGTCTATTTTTGTAGTAAGGAAAATACGCTATAAAAGTAGGAAAAGCTGGTTTTATAAACTTAATTACGGACCTTTACTTTGGCCTCAGCCATCGCGTCCTTCCCAATACCAAGAGTGACAAATGTGCAGTTTTCTCGCTGAAAAGGCTTACGATTTTGATGGTTTTAGATGGCTTTAAACATATTATATTTCATTATTGGATGCTTATACGTTTTAATTATTATTCTGTATAGTATAGCACATTTTGAATACAGGTGTATGTTTCGGCGTTGGCGCGTGCTAATTTTTGAATTTTTTCAAATTTTCATGATAATTTTGTAATTAAAAACTGTAACAATTGTTTAG